GCCTGCCCTAAAGTCCCCGCCATATCTGCCTCTCCCTGTCATGACCGCAATGCTCCGACCCTCACCCGTGGTTGTGGTCCCCCCTTTGCGGGTGTCTCTGGGATCAGCAGGATATACCCCTACCTATCACGGGACGGTTTAGGTCCGATTGGACCATCCAGTTACCAAAATTCAACGGAGATCCCGGGAGTTGGGAAAAATCAATTGTTTCACAGCAACAGCAAGCACTTCCTCTCCTTGTGTGTGGATCATCTTATGGACCGTAAGAACACTGCTTGTACTGAAGCCCTTTCTACATTCCATGCATTTGTATGGCCTTTCCCCTGTGTGAATCCTCTTATGGATAGTAAGGGCACTGCTTCTACTGAAGTCCTTACCACACTCCATGCATTTGAATGGATTCTCTCCTATGTGGATCCTTTGATGGGAAGTAAGACTATGGTTCTGACCAAAAGACTTTCCACACTCCATGCATTTGAATGCCTTCTCCCCTGTGTGGATCCTTTGATGGACAGTAAGGGCACTGCTTATACTGAAGCCCTTTCCACACTACATGCATTTAAATGGCTTCTCCCTTGTGTGCATCCTTTTATGGACAGTAAGGGCACTGCTTATACTGAAGTCCTTTCCACACTCCATGCATTTATATGGTTTCTCTCCCGTGTGACTCCGTTTATGGAAAATGAGGCCACTGGAGTAACTGAACCTCTTTCCACACTCAATGCATCTGTATGGTTTCTCCCCTGTGTGGATCCTTTGATGGCATTTAAGCAAATTGCTTCTTCTGAAGCCCTTTCCACATACCAAGCATTTATATGGTTTCTCCCCTGTGTGGTTCCGTTTATGGAAAATGAAGCCACTGGAATAGTTGAAGCTCTTTCCACACTCCATGCATTTGTATGGTTTCTCCCCTGTGCGGATCCTTTGATGGCATTTAAGCAAATTGCTTGTTCTGAAACCCTTTCTACACGCCAGGCATTTAAATGGCCTTTCCCCCAGTGTGGATCCTCTCATGGACGGTAAGGGCACTGCTTGTACTGAAGCCCTTTCTACACTCCATGCTTTTGAATGGATTCTCCCCTGTGTGGATCCTTTGATGGGAAGTAAGATGATGGCTCTGACAAAAAGACTTTCCACACTCCAGGCATTTGAATGGCTTATCCCCTGTGTGGATCCTTTTATGATTAATGAGGCCATTATATTGGATGAAGCTCTTTCCACACTCCAGGCATTTAAATGGCCTTTCCCCTGTGTGGATCCTCTTATGGACGGTAAGGGCATTGCTTTGTCTGAAGCTCTTTCCACACTCCATGCATTTATATGGTTTCTCCCCTGTGTGGTTCCGTTTATGGAGAATGAGGCCACTGGAGTAGCTGAAGCTCTTTCCACACTCCATGCATTTGTATGGTTTCTCCCCTGTGTGGATCTTTTGATGGGTTATAAGAAAATACTTTAGCCTGAAGCTCTTTCCACACTCCATGCATGTGAAAGGCTTCTCTCCTGTGTGGATCCTTTGATGGCATTTAAGCAAATTGCTTCTTCTGAAGCTCTTTCCACACTCCATGCATTTAAATGGCTTTTCCCCTTTGTGGATCATTTTATGAACGTTAAAGGCACTGCTTGTACTGAAGCCCTTTCCGCACACCAGGCATTTAAATGGCCTTTCCCCTGTGTGGATCCTCTTATGGACAGTAAGGGCACTGCTTGTACTGAAGACCTTTCCACACTCCATGCATTTGAATAGATTCTCCCCTGTGTGGATCCTTTGATGGGAAGTAAGACTGTGTCTATGACTAAAAGACTTTCCACACTCCATGCATTTGAATGCCTTCTCCTCTGTGTGGATCCTTTGATGGGAAGTAAGATGATGACTCTGACAAAAAGACTCTCCACACTCCAGGCATTTAAATGGCCTTTCCCCTGTGTGGATCCTCTTATGGACGGTAAGGGCACTGCTTGTACGGAAGCCCTTTCCACACTCCATGCATTTAAATGGCCTTTCCCCTGTGTGAATCCTTTGATGGTCCATAAGACTGTGGCTCTGAGCAAAAGACTTTCCACACTCCATGCATTTGAATGCCTTCTCCCCTGTGTGGATCCTTTGATGGGAAGTAAGATGATGGCTCTGACAAAAAGACTCTCCACACTCCATGCATTTAAACGACTTCTCCCGTGTGTGGATTCTTTGATGGGAAGTTAGATGATGGCTCTGACAAAAAGACTTTCCACACTCCATGCATTTAAATGGCTTCTCCCCTGTGTGGATCCTTTTATGATTAATGAGGCCACTAGGCTGGATGAAGCTCTTTCCACACTCCAGGCATTTAAATGGCCTTTCCCCTGTGTGGATCCTCTTATGGACGGTAAGGGCACTGCTTGTACTGAAGTCCTTTCCACATTCCATGCATTTAAATGCCTTCTCCCGTGTGTGGCTCCTTTGATGGGAAGTAAGATGATGTCTCTGACAAAAAGACTTTCCACACTCCAGGCATTTGAATGGCCTTTCCCCTGTGTGGATCCTCTTATGGACGGTAAGGGCACTGCTTGTACTGAAACCCTTTCCACACTCCATGCATTTAAATGGCTTCTCCCCCATATGAATCCTTTTATGGGATGTAGGATTACTCTCTTTGTTGAAGCTCTTTCCACTATCTATGCATTTATATTGTTTATCACATGTGAGAATTATCTTATGTCTCACAAGGGATGCAATCTTATGGAATCCCGAACCCCAGTCCATGCAGTTATATGGCTTCTCCTTGTGGTTTCTTTCCTGAACAGTCAAAGTCTTCCTTTCACAGAAGCTGTTTCCATTCTCCAGATTCTCTCCGATGGGAAGACTTTTTTGTGATGTAAGTGACCCATTTTCCTGAGAAAATGGGATAGTCCAATTGTAATTTTTTCCATTGTGTTTGCGTATATAATCTTGGCCTTTGGATGTGGATGGATAGTGTTCATTTACTTCTAATGTGTCTTTGGATAGTTTTACACCTTTCCCCATATATTTCTTCTGTATTTTTCTTCCTTCCTCAAGAAGCTCCTGCATGTGAGCCTCAATAGAAGATGAGCTTAAATTATTCCAACTACTTGAGGGGTTTCTCTCCTGCCTGTGAAATTCTGTTTCAATTGCAGGCTTCTCCATTACGTCTCCATGCCTGAACCCTTGGAATGATTCCCTTGACTCTTCATGGTCCTGCTCATTATCACCTTCAAGGGGAAAGAGAAATAAAGAAGGTTAAAGGAAAAGACCAATCAGTCGGAAGTTATCATTATTGCCTTCTGAAACTTTTCAGACTCTAAGACAGAGCATGTTTGATTGCTTACAATGATATAAATAGCAGAATAAGAATAAGAATAGCAGACATTCTTTTTCTCTATAATTATGCATAGATATTCAAATCCCAACAAGGGTCAGCTCTGACTTAATGGAAAATCAGAGGAAGCATCCAAAGTTGCATTAGGAGAAAACCTAACATTTATTGGAAAGGTACCAATTCAGTGGTGGGATTCAATTTTTTTTACTACCAGTTCTGTGGGCGTGGTTTGGTGGGCATGGCCTGGCGGGTATGGCAGGGGAAGGATGCTGTAAAATCTCCATTACCATCCCACTCCAGGGGAAGGTTAGCGCAAACTCCCCATTCCCTTCCGATCAGCTGGAACTCGGGAGGCAGAGAATAGATGGGGGCTGGGTCAGTCAGAGGTGCTATTTACTGGTTCTCCAAACTACTCAAAATTTCCGCTACTAGTTCTCCAGAAATGGGCGGAACCTGCTCAATACCACCTGTGCGTCTACTCCAACAGAGACCTACAAGAACTAAATCCCCCTTTGAAACTCATTTTCAACCTGCTCTTTTTCTTCTTACAAAAACCATGTTTCACTTACATTTTGTTTTTTATTTGCCAAAAATCACATGATTGAAGGGGGAAGATACTAGTGTTCTTCTATTAAGCTTAAGCTGCATGTTTGCGATGGGAAACCGTCACCATTTCGCCCCTAATTCTAAGGCGCAGGATAGAAATCAAACAGAAGTAGTTAACTCACTTACTTGAACGACAAGGCCTTATAGCAATAGCACTTAGACTTATATATCGCTTTACAGCCCTCTCTAAGCCGTTTTCAGAGTCAGCATATTGCCCCAAAAAATCTGGGTCCTCATTTTACTGACCTCAGAAGGATGGAAGGGTGAGTCAACCTTGAGTCTGGTGGGATTCTTACTGCCAAATTGCAGGCAGCTGGTAGGCAGCAGAAGTAGCCTGCAGTACTGCCTTCTAACCACTGCGCCATCACCGCTTCACAGGACTGATATGGAATTATATGGGCCAAAAAAGCTGAGATGTGCAATGGAGTTTAACATTACATCAAGACAAGGAATGGGGCATTGGTTCTTACCTGATATGCCCCTTCTCAAGGCAGGTGGAGACAGTGGTCATGCATGGGTTAACTCAGTTAGTAACCAATAGAACTGAGTCTACCAAAGTTATGTCATTGCCTCAGAGGAGTCCTCCTGCTTTTGTGACAAAGGAGATAAGTAGACTGCTGTGCGTTAGTTGACTGCTTTCAATCCTCCAAAACTCTAGCCTAGCTCGAGAACCCCCTCCGTGCACTAGGCCAGGAACCAAGGGTGGGGATGACCGCTGTCTCCACCTGCCTCAAGAAGGGGCATATCAGGTAAAAACCAATGCCCCATTCTCCAACGTTGGTGGAGACAGCGGTCATGCATGGGACGTACAAAAGCTGCATCCGCCGACGCGTATCTGTCCATCTTATAATGGAGGATAAAGGAATTGGGGATCACCCAGGTGGCCGCCTTGCAGATCTCTTCCACTGAGGCCTGCTTTGTCCATGCAGCTGATGTAGCCGCGCTGCGTGTAGAATGCGCCGTGATGTTGGATGGAGTCGTGAGGTGACTTGCCAGGTAAGCCCTAGTTATAGTTGATGGGATCCAGCACCCGACCATAGATGGAGAAGCCTTTAGACCCTTGTTTGTGGGATGGAAAGAAAAAGAGTGCTTCGATGCGCCTAAAGACGGCTGTCTCGGCAAAATAGATCTTAAGAGCATGTCTTACATTTAACCTGTGCCATTTGTGTTCGAGACTGTGAGAGGGATTAGGGCAAAGATTTGGTAGAGTAAGATCCAGGGACTGATGAAAGGCCAAATTGACCTTTGGGACAAAGGTGGGATCAAATTGAAGGACCACGCAGTCTGAGTGAAAAGTACACAAGTCGGAACAGATGGAAAGGGCTGCCAATTCTGAGACCCGTTATGTAGACATGATTGCCACCAGAAAGGTTGTTTTCAATGTGAGGTGATGCAGGGGGGCTGATCTGAGATGCTGAAAGGGTGGTCCAGTGAGAAAGTCAAAGACTTTGGTTAGATTCCAGGAGGGGAAGCGGTGAATGACAGGAGGGCAGAGATTAGACGTGCCCTTAATGAAGCGGCATACATGAGGGTGCAAGGAGAGAGGCTCATCCCAGTGAAGAGAGAGAACTGAAAAGAGAGCCAACACCTGCCTCCGTAAGGTGTTAGGTGCAAGTCCTTTATCTAGTCCCTGTTGCAGGAACTCCAAAACCTGGGGAACCGAAGCCCCCAGGGGTGAAATCTCTTTAGAAAGGCACCATGTGGTGAAAGTCTGCCATGTTGATTTGTCGATTCTATTAGTGGCCGGGCATCAAGAAGCCTGAATAGTGCGAATTACAGTCTCAGAAAGGTTTGCCGCCCTAAAGACCGCTCAGCCTCCATGTGGTTAGGCGGAGCCAAGATATGTCGGGATGGTGGAGAGATCCCTGGTGAAGAAGGGACGGTATCCAGGGAAGATGCCATTCTGGGTCCACTGAGAGGTTGACCGGGTCCGCGAACCATGGACGCTGCAGCCAATGGGGGGCGAGTAGGATGAGCTCGGCCTCTTCCTCTATCATTTTCTGAATGACCCTCTGTATCAGGCGGAAGGGAGGGAAGGCGTACAGGAGACCATAGGGCCACCTGCACCTTAAATCATCTGTCCCTTCCACTGCCGAGGTCGTGTAGCGAGACAGGTACCTGGGCAGTTGATTGTTGGATGCCAATGCAAAGAGATCTAGCACCAAGGTCCCATACCTGGTGGACAGCTGTTTGAAGATGCGACAGTTGAGGGTCCATTTCGCAGGATCGATTGTTGTGCGGCTCAGCCAGTCTGCTCTGGTGTTGTTGGAGCCCGAGATGTATTCAGTGTGGAGGGAGAGAAGGTTGGCTTCCGCCCAGATCCCTAGGTGAAAGGCAGGCTCCATGAGGGAAACTGCTCTCATCCCCTCCTGGTGGTTGTCATGCGTCTTGGCCATTGTGTTGTCTGTCCAGATTAGCACATGTGTGTTGCAAAGTGAAGATTGGAACTGAAGGTGAGCTAGATGGATTGGCCCTCAACTCTAGCCAGTTCATACTGTGGGAAAGGTTGGAGTCGGACCAGAGACCCTGAGCTATCTGATCCTCCAAATGAGTGCCCCAACCTGTCAAACCTGCGTCTGTCGTAACTACGAGATGAGGTGGTTCTCTGAAGAGGGACCTCTGAGATATGGCCGGGGAGATCCACCAATCCAGAGAGTGGAGGACCTCTGGAGTCAACCTGGCCTTCGCTAGGGAACAGCTGCTGTTGGTTTTCTGGAATGGCAGGAGAAACCACTGGAGGCAGCGTCTTGCATGTAAGTGGGCTGCTATGACTGAAAGGAGCTTGGTGAAGACCCTTGGGGCTGATGATAGCTCGAAGAGGAGGGCCTGATACTGAAAGTGATGGCTCGCATAGACAAATTGGAGGAACCGTCTGTGTTGTTTGTGAATGGGTAAGTGGAGGTAGGCTTTCGTGAGGTCCACTGATGTGAGTAGATCGTGTTGGGCATACTCTCTAGGATTGACAGGAGAGAGTGCATTTTGAACCTCCTGTACCTGATGAATTGATTTAAGAATTTGAGATTGAGGATTGCTCTCTAGCCCCCGAACACTTTGGCACGATAAAGAGACGAGAGTAGAACCCACATCCCACCTGGCCTGGAGGCACAGGTTGAATGGCACAAATGAGGAACAGATGATGGATGGCCTGCTCTACTAGGAGCCTCTTTTGAGGGTCCCTGGATATGGGGCATGGGACAAAGTGGTTCGGAGGACTGGAGCACAAGTCCAAGAGAAGGCTGAATATGATCATGGACCTGACCCACACGTCATTGGTGATGTTATCCCAACGAACCACGAAGGTTGACAGACGTCCCCCTATGGGGAGATCCTCCACGCAGTCACTTCTGCCTCTTGTAGGATCAGTTGGTATTGTCCCTGAATGACATTCTAGGCTGGAATCTCTGGCTGCCTGGCCTGTTGGAAAAGGAAGAGCCCTGTCTGGGGTGAGCCTGACGTTGTGGGTGAGAGTTGGAGGAACCTCCATCCTCATCCCGAAAAGGCTGCCTGCGTCTTCCGAGAGATCTGAATCTCTTGCTGGACTTTTCTCTTCTCCAAAAACTGAAGCGTGACTGGACGTGCCAGGGAGCTCATGCGATGAAGAAGCTGAGAGATGCCCATCTCTGCATCTGGAACTAGAAGAAGAAGCAGACCTACGTGGAGTAGAGTGATTAGAAGACCTACGTTTAAGGGTAGCTGCTACGCCACGTTCAATGGCCTCAGATATCATATCTGCCATGCCAGGTGAGTAAGAGTGGCGGCAGGGAAATTTCCTCCTGTTAGAGGGGCTCCTCATCCAGAGTGATGCTCCTGCCACCCTCAGATTCATCCCTACTGCAGGCGAGGTTGCCTGGGCCCCTGGCATCCTCAGGTTGAATGATGGATGCAGCAGGGGAGAGGCCCCATGCCAGCTCAGTGTAGCGGCGGACG